GACGTCACGTTTGACGAGTCGGTCCCCTACTACCGCCTCTTCCCCTACCGCACTCCGTCCCCCCCCCCCCCACCCCCACTCTTCCTGGTACCAGGTCCCCCCCAGGTAGACCCCCTCCCCCCTAAGGGTCCTGCCCCTTCAGGTGTGTCCCAGGTAGACGCAGTCGAGCTTGTCAAGGTCACTTGTGACTCTGGTGCTGCTGAGGGTGCTGAGCCTGGGGGTGCTGAGCCTGGGGGTGTTGGACCTGGGGGTGCGGAGCCTAGGGGTGCGAAGCCTGGGGTGCTACGTCTAGGGGTGCTGAGCCTAGGGGTGCTACGTCTGGGGGTGCTGAGCTTGGGGGTGTTACGCCTGGGGGTGCTGAGCCTAGGGGTGCTACGCCTGGGGGTGCTGAGCCTGGAGGTGCTCCGCCTGGAGGTTCTCCGAGTGCTTCGTCTCGCCGAGAGCCACTCTCTCCACAGGAGCTGCGTGAGTGGTTTGCCCGGCGTTAGCATCGTACTGCTGGTGCTGGAGGTTCTTCGGCTGCTGAGGGTGCTGCGGTCGCGGGTCCCGGAGGTGCTCGTACTGGGAGCACTGGAGCTGCTGGACCTGCGGGGTCGACTGGAGCTGGTGCTGCTAAGGGTGTTGGCGCTGAGACTACCACTCGCGGTCCTGCTGGGAGTGCTCCTGGTGCTGCTGGAGGTTCTGGAGCTACTGGTGGTGCTGCTGGAGCGGGTGCTCCTGCTGAGGGTTCTGGTGCTGTCCCTGCTGCTTCTGGCGTCGCCACGCGGCCTCGACCGTACTTCGTTCCACTCCTGCAGCAGGTTCTTGGTCTTCCACCTTCTACTGGTCCTCCTCCTCCCTTAGAGTGTCCACAGCCTGTCCCGTCCCAGCTATAGTTGCAGCCTACCTCCCCTTTGCCTGCTCCTTCTCCCTACACTGGTCCTACTGGAGGTCTGGCTGAGCGTCGTGAGCCTGCGTCTCGCCCTGCGTCGCCTGTCCGTGCTACTCGCACTAGTGGTCGCGGTTCGCGTCAGCGTCCTCCTCCTGTCCCTGGCACGCACCGGATGTCTCTGCGTCCGTCCACTGCTCCTCTGGTGCTGCTGAGGGTGCTGAGCCTGGGGGTGCTGAGCCAGGGGGTGTTGGACCTGGGGGTGCGGAGCCTAGGGGTGCGAAGCCTGGGGGTGCTACGTCTGGGGGTGCTGAGCCTAGGGGTGCTACGTCTGGGGGTGCTGAGCTTGGGGGTGTTACGCCTGGGGGTGCTGAGCCTAGGGGTGCTACGCCTGGGGGTGCTGAGCCTGGAGGTGCTCCGCCTGGAGGTTCTCCGAGTGCTTCGTCTCGCCGAGAGCCACTCTCTCCACAGGAGCTGCGTGAGTGGTTTGCCCGGCATTAGCATCGTACTGCTGGTGCTGGAGGTTCTTCGGCTGCTGAGGGTGCTGCGGTCGCGGGTCCCGGAGGTGCTCGTACTGGGAGCACTGGAGCTGCTGGACCTGCGGGGTCGACTGGAGCTGGTGCTGCTAAGGGTGTTGGCGCTGAGACTACCACTCGCGGTCCTGCTGGGAGTGCTCCTGGTGCTGCTAGAGGTTCTGGAGCTACTGGTGGTGCTGCTAGAGCGGGTGCTCCTGCTGAGGGTTCTGGTGCTGTCCCTGCTGCTTCTGGCGTCGCCACGCGGCCTCGACCGTACTTCGTTCCACTCCTGCAGCAGGTTCTTGGTCTTCCACCTTCTACTGGTCCTCCTCCTCCCTTAGAGTGTCCACAGCCTGTCCCGTCCCAGCTACAGTTGCAGCCTACCTCCCCTTTGCCTGCTCCTTCTCCCTACACTGGTCCTACTGGAGGTTTGGCTGAGCGTCGTGAGCCTGCGTCTCGCCCTGCGTCGCCTGTCCGTGCTACTCGCACTAGTGGTCGCGGTTCGCGTCAGCGTCCTCCTCCTGTCCCTGGCACGCACCGGATGTCTCTGCGTCCGTCCACTGCTCCTCTGCGTGCCCCTTTGCCTTCTCCTCCTGAGTCCTCTCTTCTTGCTCTTGCCGACCCGGAGTCAGACTCTCTTCGTGCTGCCAGTCCTACTGTCACGCGTCTCCTTGCTACTGTTGTCACTGACCCTTCTTTCGAGTCCCCTGCTGCGTCTGCTCTAGTTGCTGAGCTCGTCGACTTTGCTGCTCACTGTCGCCTAGACTACGCTGCTAGTCTTGTCGCTGAGTCTGAGTCTGTCTGTCCTCCGTCCGTCGGGGGTGAGTGTGCTCTTGGCACGGACGTCCTTGAGGACAGGCAGAAGGAATTCCAGTGTCTGGCAGCTGCTTCACCTCATCTCGTGTCCGTACTGCTTACCCCTGAGGGAGACCCGGATGCACTTGACATCCCGACTCCGCACTCTTATGCGGAGGCGATAGAGGGTCCCTACTCCTCTCAGTGGCAGGCAGCTATGGACGCAGAGATGGCTTCCTGGAAGTCCACAGGCACCTACGTTGACACTGTCCCCCCTCCTGGGGCGAACATCGTCAGTGGCATGTGGATCTTCAGGGTGAAGCGGCCGCCGGGTTCTCCGCCTGTCTTCAAGGCGCGTTACGTGGCTCGTGGCTTCAGTCAGCGGCAGGGAGTTGACTACTTTCAGACCTTCTCCCCCACCCCGAAGATGACCACTCTTTGGGTACTGCTGCACGTTGCTGCTCACCGTGACTACGAGCTGCACTCTCTTGACTTCAGCACAGCTTTCTTGCAGGGCGGCCTGCACGAGGAGATCTGGCTGCGTCGCCCACCTGGCTTCACTGGGTCTTTCCCTCCTGGTACCCAGTGGAGTCTCCGGCGTCCAGTCTACGGTCTCCGCCAGGCGCCACGTGAGTGGCACGACACACTGAGGACTACGCTTGCGGCTCTTGGGTTTGCTCCTTCTACTGCCGACCCGTCGCTGTTTCTGCGCACCGACACCTCTCTGCCGCCGTTCTACATCCTCGTGTACGTCGACGACTTGGTCTTTGCCACAGCTGACACTGCTGGACTCGCCTACGTGAAGTCCGAGCTGCAGAAGAGACACACGTGCACAGACCTGGGTGAACTGCGCAGCTACCTTGGCTTGCAGATCACCCGGGACAGAGCACGCCGCACCATTACCCTGACTCAGTCACACATGGTGCGGCAGGTCCTTCAGCGCTTCGGCTTCACGTACTCCTCGCCTCAGGCCACTCCTCTGCCTACTCGCCATTCGCTCTCAGCTCTGCCTTTGGATGAGTCCGTAGAGTCGAGTGGCCCGTACCCAGAGCTTGTTGGCTGCCTCATGTACCTGATGACCTGCACACGACCTGACCTTGCATACCCTCCTAGCATTCTCGCACGCTATGTTGCTCCTGGGAGACACCGACCAGAGCACATGGCTGTAGCGAAGAGGGTGTTGCGCTACCTGTGCAGTACGTCGGGCATGGGGCTAGTGCTTGGAGGGCGGAGTCTAGTGGTCCTCACTGGGCACGCGGACGCTTTTTGGGCTGACGACCAGGCTACGCAGCGGTCGTCACAGGGTTACACCTTCAGCCTTGGTTCCGGCTCTGTTTCGTGGCGGGCTACTTGCTCGTCTTCTGTTCTTGGCTCCAGTTGTGAGGCTGAGATCTACGCCGGGGCCATGGCTGCACAGGAGCTTCGCTGGCTCACCTACCTGCTGACCGACCTTGGAGAGCCGCCTCGTTCTCCTCCAGTCCTGTACGTAGACAACAAGGCCATGCTGGCCTTGTGTCGAGAGCAGCGACTGGAGCACAGAACAAAGCACATTGCTCTCCGCTACTTCCTTGCTCGTGAGCTACAGCAGCGTGGACAGTTGCGGCTTGCGTACGTGGCCTCTGAGGCCAACACTGCTGATGTCTTCACCAAGGCACTTGCGCCTTGTGATCATCAGCGTTTCTGCACTCAGCTGGGTCTTGTGCCCGTCTTGCCTCACTTGCTCTCCTCTTGACCTTGCTTGTACTCTCACATATATATATACCTGCTCTTGCTTGTCTAGCTTTATATATATGTGTGTACTCTTGCATGTGAACTGGCCGTGTGGCCTTGACCCTGTGCTCGGACTGTGTGGTGACTTTGTGATCCACCATGAGCTTGCTTTGCTTTGCTTTACTTGACTGGTCTTGTGACCCCTTGTTCTCCCCCACTTTGCCTATGGGGGTGTGTCAGAATGCTATATAGCTTATACATTTGTGTAGGCTATAGTGGGGTATCCCATAGGGGGTACAACCCAATTAGGGTTAGTACTTGTACTCACTCATTTCATAGTTGATTCATTCTCTCGTTCTCATTCTCACACCCTTAGCGGCCCGTTGCGCCGCCCTTAGTGGTTCCGTCGCGCCGCCCTTTGCGGCCGCGTCACGCCGCCCCTTCGTGGCCTCGTCGCGCCGCCCCTTTTGCGGCCCCGTCATACCGCCCTCAGCGGCCCGTCGCCGCCCTCCCCCTGTGGCCCGTCGCCGCCCTTTCACCTACGGCCCCGTCGCCGCCCTTACAGCGGCCCCATTGCTGCCCTTGCAGCGGCCCCGTCGCCGCCCTCCCCTTACGGCTCGTCGCCGTCCTCCCCTTACGGCCCGTCGCCGCCCTTACAGCGGCCCCAGCGCCGCCCTTACAGCGGCCCAATCGCCGCCCTCCCCTTACGGCCCGTCGCAGCCCTTTCAGCGGCCCCGCCACCTTCTTCAGCGGCCGCGTCGCCACCCCTGCAGCGGCCTCGACGCCGCCCCTTAAGCGGCCCTCCCGCCGCCTCCTCTGCGGCCCTGTAGCCGCTCACTTCAGCGGCCCCGCCGCCCTTCGCGGGCCCGCCTTCCTTAGCGGCACAGCCACCCAGCAGCCGAGCCGCCGAGCAACTGAGCCGCCCAGCAGCCGAGCCGCCAAGCCGCCCAGCAGCCGAGCCGCCGAGCCGCCGAGCCGCCCAGCAGCCGAGCCGCCGAGCCGTCCAGCTGCCAAGCCGCCGAGCCGCCCGAGCCGCCCTGTCCGGTAAGAGCAGCGCCTCTGTCACTACACTGCCCTTACCCTACTGTTCGCGCTGCTAGTCTACTGCTTTCATGGCTACCCCTAGTGTCCTCGCTTTTGACGCTGAGGGTCGGGCCATTGACTTTGACGTCTGGGTAGATGACCTGCAACTTTTCCTACAGTGCGATAGGGCAGACGGTCTCTACCTCTTTGACCTCACCACTGGTGCCTCTCCTGCCCCTGCTGCTGATGCCGACGCCACTGTTCGCTCACAGTGGGCCACACGCGATGCTGCTGCACGTCTTGCTGTGCGTCGCCACCTGCCTACCTCTGAGCGTGCGCACTTTAGTCAGTACAAGAGTGCTCAGACCTTGTACGACGCTGTAGTTGCACCCTACTCCTCCCCTGCCACTGCTGCACTGAGCCGCCTCATGCTACCGTACCTCTTCCCTGACCTTGTTGCCTTTCCCACAGTCGCTGACCTCATTACGCACCTCCGCACTAGTGACACTCGCTACCGCGCTGCGCTTCCTGCTGAGTTCTGCGCCAAGAACCCCCCCCCCATGTACATCACCCTCTACTACATAGTCACCCGGCTCCCTGACTCCCTTCGCGTAGTCAGGGACCACTTCCTCTCAGTTTGCCCCACCACTCTCACAGTTGACCTCCTCGAGAAGGCCCTTCTAGCAGCAGAGAAGAGCATAGTAGCTGTAGGAGCCTCTCGTGGTGACCCTCGCACCCCCATCTTTGAGGGGTGTTCCCCCTCCCCCCTTTTGCCCTCTGTTGCCTCTGCTGCTGCGGTCGACCTCGTTGGTCTTGAGTTGGTCGGTGCGGCGTCTATCCCTAGCGGGAGACGCCGCCCTGGCAAGGGCAAGGGGGGCCGGGGCGCTGGAGGAGCTAGCGAGGGCGGTGGAGGAGGCGGTGGAGGCGGTGGAGGGGGTAGGGGCGGCGGTGGGGGTGGTGGCAGGGGTGGAGGTGTCGGTGGCGGCAGTGGAGGCGGAGGCGGCGGCGGCGGTGGCGGTGGGAGCGGAGGTGGCGGAGGTGGCGGCGGTGGAGGAGGCGGTGGCGGTGGAGGTGGAGCAGGTCGGGGTGGCGCTGCGCAGAGGGTCGGCTCCGGTGGTGGTCAGCGCCAGCAGCAGCAGCAGTAGCAGCAGCGCACTCGTCACATCCCCCCCCCTCAGCAGCTCCGTGAGTGGTACGCTGCACGCCAGCGGGGTGGGGGTACTGGTCAGTGCACCTACGTCCTACGCACCGCCGACCGCGCAGGTGAGCAGTGCGGGGGTGCGCACTCCACTCAGCGCTGCTTTGGCCGCCTGACGGACGCTTGGCGTCACCAGTTCCCGGAGGCCACTGAGATCCCCCGCTGGGGCGAGCTTTCTAGGGCGGGAGTAGCTGTCTTTGACCTTGACTTTGATGCTATTCTTGCTGCCATGTATGCTGTGACTATTAGTGATGAGGGTGACTGTTACCGGTGTTTTCCGCCCGACCCGGGCATTGAGACTGCTGCTCTAGGTACTGGTGAGGCTGCTGCTCTAGGTGCTAGCGAGGCTGCTTCTCTAGGTGCTCGTGCGTCTGCTCCCTCAGGTGCAGGTGCTACTACTGGGGGTGCTGAGCCTGGGGGTGCTGCAACTGGGGGTGCTGAGCCTGGGGGTGCTGAGCCTAGGGGTGCTGCGACTGGGGGTGCTGAGCCTAGGGGTGGTGAGCCTGGGGGTGCTACGACTGGGGGTGCTGAGCCTGGGGGTGCTGAGCCTGGGGGTGCTACGCCTGGGGATTCTGAGCCTGGGGGTGCTACGCCTGGAGGTGCTAAGCCTCGGGGTGCGGAGCCTGAGGGAGTTGGGCCTACTCGTGTGGCATCTTGCGGTGCTGGGCCTGGCGGTTCTCCGGGTGCTTCGTCTCGACGGGAGGCCATCTCTTGAGAGGAGCTGCGTGAGTGGTTTGCCCGGCGCTGGAGGCGTGCTATTGGAGCTGGAGGTACTTCGGCTGCTGAGGGTGCTGGTGCCGCGGGTCCCGGAGGTGCTCGTACTGGGAGTACTGGAGCTTCTAGGCCTGCGGGTACGACTGGAGCTGGAGCTGCTGAGGGTGTTGGCGCTGAGGCTACTGCTGTCGGTCCTGGAGGCGGTCCTACTAGGGGTACTACTGGTGCTGCTGGAGGTACTGGAGCTGCAGGTGCTCCTGGCGCTGGTGCTGCCGCTGGGGGTGCTGGTGCTATCCCTGCTGTGTCTGGAGTCGCCGCGCGGCCTCGGCCATACTTCGTTCCGCTCCTTTAGTAGATTCTTGGTCTCCCGCCTTCTACTAGTCCTCCTCCTCCCTTAGAGTGTCCACAGCCTGTCCCGTCACAGTTACAGTTACAGCCGTCCTCCCCACTGCCTGCTCCTTCTCCCTTCACTGGTCCTACTGGAGGTCTTGCTGAGCGTCGTGAGCCTGCGTCTCGCCCTGCCTCGCCTGTCCGTGCTTCTCGCACTAGTGGTCGTGGTTCGCGTCAGCGTCCTCCTCCTGTCCCTGGCACGCACTGAATGTCTCTGCGTCCGTCCACTGCTCCTCTGCGTGCCCCTTTGCCTTCTCCTCCCGAGTCCTCTCTTCCTGCTCTTGCCGACCCGGAGTCGGACTCTCTTCGTGCTACCAGTCCTACGGTCACGCGTCTCCTTGCTACTGTCGTCACTGACCCTTCCTTTGAGTCCACAGCTGCGTCTGCCCTAGTTGCTGAGCTCGTCGACTTTGCTGCTTGCTGTCGTCTAGACTACGCTGCTAGTCTTGTTGCTGAGTCTGTCTGTCCTTCGTCCGTCGGGGGTGAGTGTGTCCTTGGCACGGACGTCCTTGAGGACAGGCAGGAGGAGTTCCAGTGTCTGGCTGCTGCTACACCTCATCTCGTGTCCGTATTGCTTACCCCTGAGGGAGACCCGGATGCACTTGACATCCCGACTCCGCGCTCTTACGCGGAGGCGATAGAGGGTCCCTACTCCTCTCAGTGGCAGGCAGCTATGGACGCAGAGATGGCTTCCTGGAAGTCCACAGGCACTTACGTTGACAAGGTTCCCCCGCCTGGGGCGAACATCGTCAGTGGCATGTGGATTTTCAGGGTGAAGCGGCCGCCGGGTTCTCCGCCTGTCTTCAAGGCGCGTTACGTGGCTCGTGGCTTCAGACAGCGGCAGGGAGTTGACTACTTTCAGACCTTCTCTCCCACCCCAAAGATGACCACTCTTCGGGTACTGCTGCACATAGCTGCTCACCGCGACTACAAGCTGCACTCTCTTGACTTCAGCACTGCTTTCTTGCAGAGCAGCCTGCACGAGGAGATCTAGCTGCGTCGCCGACTTGGCTTCACTGGGTCTTTTCCCCCTGGCACCCAGTGGAGCCTCCGGCGGCCAGTCTACGGTCTCCTCCAGGCGCCCCGTCAGTGACACGACATACTGAGGACTACACTTGCGGCTCTTGGGTTTGCTCCTTCTACTGCCAACCCGTCGCTGTTTCTGTGCACCGACACCTCTTTGCCGCCGTTCTACATCCTCGTGTACGTTGACGACTTGGTCTTTGCCACAGCTGACACTGCTGGACTCGCCCACGTGAAGTCCGAGCTGCAGAAGAGACACACGTGCACAGACCTGGGTGAACTGCGCAGCTACCTTGGCTTGCAGATCACCCGGGACAGAGCACGCCGCACCATTACCCTGACTCAGTCACACATGGTGCAGCAGGTCCTTCAGCGCTTCGGCTTCACGTACTCTTCGCCTCAGGCCACTCCTATGCCTACTTGCCACTCGCTCTCAGCTCTGCCTTCGGATGAGTCCGTAGAGTCGAGTGGCCCGTACCCAGAGCTTGTTGGCTGCCTCATGTACCTGATGACCTGCACACGACCTGACCTTGCATACCCTCTTAGCATTCTTGGCACGCTATGTTGCTCCTGGGAGACACAGACCGGAGCACATGGCTGCAGCGAAGAGGGTGTTGCGCTACTTGTGCAGTACGTCGGGCATGGGGCTTGTGCTTGGAGGGCAGAGTCCAGTGGTCCTCACTGGGCACGCAGACGCTTCTTGGGCTGACGACCAGGCTACGCAGCGGTCGTCACAGCGTTGAACCTTCAGCCTTGGTTCCGGCTCTGTTTCGTGGCGGGCTACCCGCTCGTCTTCTGTTCTCGGCTCCAGTTGTGAGGCTGAGATCTACGCTGGGGCCATGGCTGCACAGGAGCTTCGCTGGCTGACCTACCTGCTGACTGACCTTGGAGAGCCGCCTCGTTCTCCTTCAGTGCTGTACGTAGACAACAAGGCCATGCTGGCCTTGTGTCGAGAGCAGAGACTGGAGCACAGAACGAAGCACATTGCTCTCCGCTACTTCCTTGCTCGTGAGCTACAGCAGCGTGGTCAGCTGAGGCCAACACTGCTGATATCTTCACCAAGGCACTTGCGCCTTGTGATCATCAGCGCTTCTGTTCTCAGCTGGGTCTTGTGCCTACTTTGCCTCACTTGCTCACTCCTTGACCTTATTTGTACTGTTGCATATATATATACACCTGCTCTTGCTTGTCTAGCCTTATATATATATGTAATCCTGCATGTGAACTTGTGCTCGGAATGTGTGGTGACTTTGTGATCCACCCTGAGCTTGCTTTGCTTTACTTTGCTTGACTGGTCTTGTGACCCCTTGTTCTCCCCCACTTTGCCTATGGGGGTGTGTCAGAACATTATAGCTTATACATTAGTGTAGGCTGTAGTGGGGTAGCCCATAAGGGGTACAACCCAATTAGGGTTAGTACTTGTACCCAACTCTTTCATAGTCCAATCATCCTCGTTCTCTTTTCTCAAGAGGAAACACATGAAAAACATAGTACTGCAAGAAAAGAGAGAGAATAAAACATGTTTCATACACAAAAACACCCTGAAAACTTGTTGGAATCTGGCAGAAGGCCGATATCGGAGGGAGAACCGCGTTGGTGCTACACTACTTTCACTATGTTGGCCATGTCCATCCTCCTCTTACAATACAGTACAGCCTTAGTGTAACACTTTCACACAATAAAATTGTTCAATAAGGGCGTGTTTCTACAGCCCCCTATCTGGCCAGCCTCTTGTCAGACTCGCATGAAACACACAAAATTCGTAGACACCTGGCTTTTTGTTTCACAAATTTGTGGCTAGTAGAGGGCAAGAAAAAAATGCATGGATGATTTGGCATGTGGCTACAATACAGATTGTTTTGTGATGCTCCGAAATTGTTTCACAAAACGTCGTTTGGAATGAAACGTATAAGCGATACTATTCAACTAAGTCTACCATCTGTCATAAACAAATCGCTGGTGATTTTGCGCGCTGAAAAAAAAAAGTGTCGCTCGAACCCGATAAAATGAGCTGTAAATTGCACAAATTACATCGCGGAAGAAACATTTTTCAAGTATGACGAGCTATTTGTAACAAAAAAACTCGATACTATTGCTTCTGACATGAGGAGGGCCTCATAGGGGACCGTAGGTTCACGCCCTATCACGGTCGCTTTGCAACTGTAAAGAAGTGTGAACAGCGGAATGAGAATGACTAGCAGCCATGAGACACAAGTAGTGAACCCTAAATGGATGAGACCAGTCAAGAGAAGCAACAACGCAAAACCCAGGGTGGATCTCAACATCACCACACAGTCCGAGCACAAGAAGGTGGCCACAAGGCAGTTCACACGCAGTGTTATAATAGCAAAAGCAATACATTTATCACATCATAGCAATCGTAAGCATGTAGTTATATATATATATATCAAATTACAAGACAAGTGAGGTATAGTAGGCACAAGCTCAAGACAAGTGCAGAAACACTGATAATCACCACACCCCAGGGCCTTGGTAAAGATATCAGGAGTGTTGGTCTGGGAGGCCACGTAAGCAAGGCGAAGCTGAACACGCTGCCATAAATCTCATGCAAGGAAGTAACGAAGAGCAATGTGCTTCGTTCTGTGCTCCAGTATCTGCTCCCGACACAAGGGAATCATAGCCTTGTTGTCGATGTACGGTTCGGAGGAGAACGAGGCTGCTCACCCAAGTCAGTTAGCAAGTAGGTCAGCCGGCGCTGTGCAGCCATAGTCACATCGTAGATCTCGGCTTCACAGCTAGAACTAAGCACAGAAGACGAGCGGGTGGACCTTCAGGAGATAGAACGAGCGCCGAGACTGAAAGTGTAACCCTGTGACGACCGCTGAGTCTCCTGGTCATCAACCCAAGAAGTGTCTGAGTGTACATTGAGCACAACTGGAACCCGTCCTCCAAGCACACCTCTGATATACTCCACCAGTAACGCAGTACTCTTTGTGCAGCGCGGTAGTACTCAGGGCAGTGCTTCCCGGGCGCAACAAAGTGCACCAGGATGCTAAGAGGGTAAACGAGGTCAGGTTGAGTGCAAGCCATCATGTACATGAGG